AATTTTGCATGAATTGGAACTCAAACGACCGAGAAAAAGTCCGAAACAAAGTTAAAACATAGTAAAAACAGCATCTAAAACCTTCTTTTTACGCATGTAAACAAGCGTAATCAATAAGTGGGCTAAGGAATGGACTGGAGGTTGGTAGATGCTGCTATACATAAGAATCAAGAATTCGAAATCCATCTGCAAAAGGAAATTCACCTTCATTAAACTCAACATGCCTGGAAATAAAAATCTAGACCCAAACCTTTGTGGCCTTTGTGAAGTGAGTTGAGACCCAAATATAGACACTTCTCTGATTTGAAGGAAAATTTGTGAGCGTTGAACGGTCTGAGAAATGGAAAGCAGGCACAACCAAAAGTTCTCAACTCAGAATAATTAATTTGTTTATGATGCAATAACTCTAAGGGTGATTTACCATGCAGAACAGGTGTTGGAAGACCATTTATTAGTACCGTGGATGTTTGAAAAGCATCCCACTTGTAATTGTAATTTAGGGGCATGGATGCCTGAGCAAGCAAAGTTAAGTCAGTCTCAACGATATGGCGATGCTTTCTTTCGATCCGATCATTTTGAATTGAGGTGTACGGACAGGAGTAACGTAACTTAATTCCCAACTGAGTACATAATTGATGAACTTTTACATATTCACCTCCATTATCAGATTGCAGGCTCATGATAGATGTTTGAAACTGAGTTTTTACCATGGCAATAATGTGATTAAATGCAGTAATAGTATCACTCTTAAGCTTGAGAGGATAAATCCAAACAAACCTACCAAAGTCGTCCAAAAATGAACATAGTATCCAAGACCTTCTGTGGATGAAACATGTGCAAGACCCTCAAGATCAGTGTGAATTAATTCAAAAGGGGCAGTAGCATGAGTACTAGAATGAGGGAATGGAAGAGCATGTATTTTTCCATACTTACATCACAGAAAGAAAAGTTTTCATTGGTCTACACTGGTAGATTACATTTCCTGACAACAATATTTAAAGTCCGTAAAGAGGGGTGACCAAGCCTTCGATGCCAAACAGTTTTGGTCACTGCTATATATTTACAGAAGAAAACACATTGCAGGCAACAAAATTGTTGACCGACTCCAAGCGATTTTCTGAAAAAACTTGAAGCACTACCGGTGGCTCTTGCAAGTTCAAGTTGATATAACCCATTTTTAAGCACTCCCTTCATGACCACCGTGCCCGTACGTGTGTCCTTAACAACACAATAATGAGCATGAAATTCAAGATAAACATCATTGTCTTGAGCAAGTTTGGAAACACTAACAAGATTCTTTGTTATATCAGGCACACATAACACATGCTTAAGGTTAGCAAACTAGTATTGGAAGGCAAATAAGACGATCCAAAGTGAGAAATAAATAACTCACTACCATTACCAATAGTTACTTTGTTCTTACCACTGTATTTCGTTGGATTCATCACATTGTGATAGTTAGCACTAACATGGTTTGTAGCTCCACTATCAACGTACCAGTTGGGATCAGCAACAGACTCGGGATTAGCAACAAACATATTTGAACTTCCCTTCTGTGCAGTCATGAACGCCTGGGTAGCACTTGGAGATGTGCCACTATTATTTGGACCACTGTTCTGATTTTTTGCAAAGAGATTTGGGCTTCTCCCGATGGATTGGTTAGATGGAGAAAATTGCTTTTCAAAATGATGATAACAAACAAAAGTAGTGTGTCCAATTTTTCCACAAACCTAGCAAATAAGACGATTATTGTTTCCATTCCATCTTCCTTGGCCTCTTCCGAAACCATTTCCTCTTCTCGAGTTACTGCTAGAGCTTTGGTGGCTGTTGAACGATGATTTTGTTTTTGACCACTAGAGAAGGTGTGACCCTTGGTTGTGTTCATATTCACTGAAGGAGTATGATTAAGAGAGATCGTGAGTTTTGATATTCGAGTCGTTTCTAAAAAACAAGCAGTTCGACTTGCATTTCTTACCAAGTTATCCATGCCCGTCCTTGGATCATAGCCACAACTGGATTGTATTCCTCATCAAGTCCTAGAATGACTTGAGAAATCAGGGAGCGGGTAGTAATAGGGCTTCCAGCTTGACCTAAGTTGTCGGCATGAGACTTCATAATACGAAGATAATCAGCCGTTTTAATAGGCTACACTTTATACTCAACCTCTAGGGTTTTGAAAGAATAAAGCTAAAAGATAAATACAACAAGATAACACACGTGTTGAATGAGGAGATGAGAGAAATAAATGAGGAATAGCAAAATTGGTTAAAAATGAACAATCCAGAACATGCTTAGGTGGCCTTGGGTTGTGGAGGTGGAGTTTTCTCACTGAGTTGATTTAGTTCCTTTACACATTTATCCTTTAATTTGGTGATTCGACGACTCGACATAAATAGTGTATTTCTTAATTGGCCACTACATGAAGCTGTCTATATGGTTCAACCTTGATTATAAGGATCTTACTAGGTTGGATCATGTTTTGTCGGTTGCAAGCACCTTGAGCGTGATATGATAAATTAAAGGTCACTATTCGAACGTGGTATTTTCCTGATACCAAATCTGACTCTTCTCTATATTTTTCTGTTTCAATGCGTGCTGATCGACCAATTGGACAGTTGGTCGGTTAAACTCACACCATACTCAATCTCAATATATTAATGATATTTTGCACAAACTTGAACTTCAAAATTTGAAACCTTCTATTTCTCCGGTTGGCAAGTCTCTTTCAGGGACGCTTATGGAAAATCCAATTTTATATCGAAAATGCCCACCATTTTTTTACCCATGAAAATAAAGTGACTTTCGGCGACAAAATGAGGATTTCGTTGTCGAAAGGACGAGATTCAGCGACTTGTTTCGTCGCCAAAAGCCACTTTACTTCCATGGTGGGGAAATATGGCGGCATTTTCGACAACGAAACTGTAATTTCGTCACCGAAACCCGTCCTTTCAACGTCGAAATCCTCATTTCATCGTCGAAAGGCAGCTTAGAATGACGAAATGTTGTTTCGTCGCCAAAACCCTCACTATTAGCAACGAAAAATTATTTGGTCGCCAAAGATGCCTTTTGGCGATGAAAGTATCTTTGGTCGCCGAAGTCAAAATTCTTGTAGTGACCCTTCAATACCCAATTCACACTCCGCTGAATATTTGCTTTTATGATTGATAAGTTGAGTCTGTTTGTCAAAAGCCTTCAAATAATGTACATTGGCAGGGGCTTAAAAAGGTTATTCGATAGGTTAAAAGGTACAATGTTCTATGATTTGCATGTTACACACCATTAAATCAACTTGGGTTGTATGCTTTTTTGGATGCTAATTGGGCATCTTTCTCGGATAATCATCGTTGATTTGTTACTACATGTTGTGTTGTTCTTTAAAAAGCAACAAATCGTTGCTCATCGAGTATAAAATCTAAGTATGGGGTATTTGCTCATGCAACTGCTTAACTTGTGTGGATTTTCGCTTTGTTCAAAGAGATTCATTACCTATTATTGGGAGCCCTATCCTTTGGTGTGATAATATGGGTGCACGAGCTCTCGCTATTAATCTCGTGTTTCATGCCTGATCAAACAAATCAAGATCGTGTTGGGTGTGTTGCCCTAAACCCATAGTTTGTAACTATGTAAAAATAAATTTATATTCAATAAAATTGTGCTTTCTTATTCAATCAAATTGTTGTTGAATTTATAATATTGCATTGTCTAAATCCAATAAACTAAACATCCAAGTTTATTATTATGTAACCGGGACAGTATATATTCTAGGTATATATTTGATATACCCTTGATATACATGCGGATAATGTCCTGGTGATTATTTGAATGAGATTCAAATAGTAATTAATATGAATTGTATCTATATTAAAACTATAGGTTTTAACAAGAAAGATGCATTTGAATATAATTCAAATATATATAGTTTTAATTTAATATAAGTTGAATATTTAATTGTTAATTATTCATTTAATAAATATATATATTTAATTAATTAATTATTAATTAGATTAATAATTAATAATTAAATAATTAATTAACTATATGTTAATTATTATTATAATTATTAATTAATTAACTCCCCTGAATTTTAGTAGGAGAGTGGACAGTTGTTCTGACGTGGAGTAACTCCTCATGTCACTTTCCCTTCATTAGAGTGCAAAAACGTTATGCAAGGATTCTCTCTCGCTTTTCAACCTGCAAAAGAAAAATATAGAGAAAGTCTCTCATCGAATCTCTCTCCCTTTTTCCAATCTCTATCTTGGTTCCCACAAGTCGGATTCTCATCGGAGATATAGTAGGGTAGATTTTCGTGGTGGTGTTGAATGGAATTGTTGGAAGCCTTTGAGATTGTCTTCAAGGGTAGGTTAAAAGTTCTCTGTTTTTTTATTCACTGTGTTGTAACTTTTGTCCTTAAATTCACGAACACGATCCTCATTTCCGCTCTGGGATTAACATCACATCAGATCGATGTTCATTTTTACTCGTGGTCATGTTATGTGTTGTCAACTTGATATCAAATTCATACTGTTCGGAGATCAAGCGGTAGATTATGTCTTACTAAGCCTACTACTCATACTCGTTTCCTTCAGTTAAGGAGTAAACACACTCATTGATCTTCCCCACGTTTGAGGGAATGTGAATATATCTAGCTAAACGGGTCGTCCTAATTTCTTAGTTAACTACTCACGATGTCGTTCTCATCATTCTGAAGAAAAAACATATCTTTTACTATCAAATGGAAGAAAGGTAGGAGAAGAATCATTGTTCAGCCATGTTAATTAACCTGACCCCTAAACTTCGTTGTCCAACTAATTGTTATGACAAACTTCCAAGTTTTTTTTTTTTTTTGAGATAATACAAACTTTCAAGTTAATTCATACATACATCGTTTTAAATTTTGTCACACCAATTTTTTATTACAACTTTTTATATTTCAAGGATGAGCCACGCTTGGCAGCTCAATTAATTGAAAATCATTGAGGCAGTTTCTTTCTAACAGTTTGCGCACATTAAAAAGGTCTAGAATTAGCTATGTGTCAAGCTGGTAGAGAATTCTCACTTCTATGATGTAATAATTGTTAAAACAATTTTTACAATATTATTATTATTATTATTATTTTATTAAAAAAAGGAACCCAACAAAAAGATAAACCGAAAAAAAATATATTTATAAAGTTTATAAAAATGGTATAAATTACAAACTTATACCCTTACACCTACTTTTGTGACATTTTTGAAAAAACAATAATTATACTTTTATAAATACATATTTATTTTGTATCATTTAAAATAATTTTTCAAAAAAAATTTTACTCTCCCAAGACCTAAAATTTTTAACTTTCAATTTCATTTACCTAACCAACCTATTCTTCTAAAAATCACATATAATATAGGTTAGAGTTTTTTGTGTGTAATAAATATCTAAATATTTATTTAAAGAAAAATATGAGATCCGTTAAGAAATTTTGAAACTTTAAAAACTTGTTAAATACTTCGGTTTAAAAAGTATATTTAATCTATGTATTTTCGATAAAGTAATGATTTAATAACCCTTCTTGTGAGATTCCATCCGCAAACGCAAAGTTTATGGCTAACTGATATTGCTCATCATCATTTAGCTATTGCATTTATTTTTCTTATTGCTAGTCATATGTATAGAACTAACTTCGGGATTGGATCTTACGGAGTCTGTTCATGCACGACATCGTCAAGTCTGATCATAGAAAAGATTCTTTTCAAGCGAACCAGCCTACCCTCTGTATGGAGCTTTCACGGTGGTTGGAACAAAGACACATTTGGTTGTGAATCCCAATGTGGCAGATAAAAAGACATATATCCACACGRCCCAATCAATAGTTCAAGTCACACACTCCCATAATCCATTTTCTCTTCGAAGAATTCCCATTTGACCTATGGACGAAGACGCAAGCATACGTTTCATGCTTGTTTGAGTAATAGCAATGAGATTCCCCAATATCATGCTAAGAATAGCTAGGATTTCCATCAGAAGATGTCATTCGTTTGATGAGAAAGAAAAAGGAATATCGAAAATTCGAGTGGTTGAAGCTGAAGCAGCTACTTTCGAAGTAACAGAAAGAAAAGCAACGACTGGAGTGGGAGAGTTAGAGTTGAAAAGAGGATTCCTCACTTCTTTCTCTCATTCAAAACCGTGCATGAGACTTTCATCTCGCACGGCTCCTAAGCTCTAAGTGATAGTCATTGTACTATTAAATTGGTAATGATTTAGTCCCTAAATTTTGGTACGTAACAATTTAATTCATATAATTTAAAATTTATAACAATATAATTTTTAAAGCAAAAAGTCTTCTCAAATTAAGCGTCGATTTTTATTATATAATAATTGAGTCTTTATAATTTATAAACACATATGATCTTCATTCGATTTATCAATCTATACCTATATAAAAAATTTAACAAAAAATTTTACGACATAGACTAAATTGTTAGCTACTAAAATTTTACCTTTTATGTTAAAAAATTATTCGAGACTATATAGTTCGAGATATTTTTGGGATGTTGTGGCCAAGTGTCCACTTTATTGCTTACTGAAACTCAATATCTCATCAGTCGATCGGCGCTCCCCATTTTCATCCATCTTCGAATTCCATCGTCAGAAATTCTGCTTGAAATTCTCTGAAAATGGACGCCAAGCCCACCGAGATCAGCAGCTCCAAGATGTTCGGAGGTTACAACCGAAGATACCGCCATTACAGTCCAACTCTTGGCTGCTCCATGACCTTCCACATCTACTTCCCTCCTTCTCCTCTGCCGTCCCACAAATTTCCGGTAACTTCTCCCATTTTCGATGCTCAATTGAAACTCGATTGCTGAAGTAATTGTTTGAGTGTTTCTGATCTACGATTTTCGGAACAATCGGCTTCCTGTTTGATCCATGTTTGTGAGATTTCACTGCTATTGGATGTGGGTTTTGTGGGGTGGCTATAGATCGGTTGCCCTGTAGTGTGTTTCTTTCTGTTAATGGGGAATGTATCGGGATGGTGATGATTAATGGTTGGGGTTGGATTTTGTTGTTGAGCAGGTACTGTACTGGCTCTCTGGGCTTACCTGTACGGATGAGAATTTTATAATTAAGTCAGGGGCTCAACGCACTGCTTCCAGTGAAGGTGTTGCTTTAATTGCACCTGATACATCTCCAAGTAAGAAGAACTCTGGAATTCATTTTTCTGTTCTTGGATAAATGCAATTTCTACTATCCTTGTGCTGTTAACGACTTCGAACTTATTTTTATTTCTGCGAATGACTCTTTTAAGTTTTATGGGAAGTAAAAATTGTCAATTTTTTGCATTCTGAGATGTGTTTTTGATAATATCTATTTGACCCAACGAAGTTATGTGGTTTGGATTCTTCAATTGTGAATGTCAAGTATTTTTTTTTTTTGAATAAGAAACCTTTTATAGACAAAAGTAGAGAACAAAAACAGGCTAAGGGCAGAGGGCAGAGGGAAGAGAGATCCCCCTCCCAACAAACTACTGAAGAATAGCTCTCCAATCTTACATCTGCCATGGGAATATATGACTGCGATAATATGTGGGTTGGAGCTAAATCTTTAATCTAAAGTGGATAGGAATGGTTGTCTTATGGGATCGAAACATCATTTATCCGTTCACTTCGGTAATTTGGGAGCATATTTATTTCTTTTATCGCAATGTGATTCTCTTCTTGGGTATTTTTATGAGGAAAAATCTTCGAAACCTGGTGATAAAAAGTAAAGGATGTTTTCTTGCAGAAGTCCTTATTGGCCTTTAAATCAAAATTAATTGGTCTAGCAACTATGTATAGTATTTACTGTGCTCGGTGTGTTGATATGAAATTGATCTTATTTTAAAAGCTTTACAGTATGGAACCGATGCTTTCTTATGATTGAATGTGACTGACTGGGTCTTATTTGTTTCATTTGGCCCATTCATTTAATAGGAGGCCTGAATGTGGAAGGAGAGGCAGAAAGTTGGGATTTTGGTGTTGGTATGCTACTTCTGACTGTTCTGTTTTATTACATTTAAACAGAGTACTTTTGACATAAAATTTTATCATTCTTCAAATTCAAATGACATACATTGAAGAACTTGGCCTTGCAATTGTGAATATGGACCATATGGTGCAAGAAAGCCTATTTTTGTAAAAGGATCTGTCCTAGCACCATGGCACTCAGTCTCAACTTAAGATCGACGCCCAAAGTTCATAGCACCATGGTGCTATAAATGAGCATCGTGGCACTGTCCTCTCAATATTTTTCCTTGTGGTGGTTATATGAGCGCCATGGTAGCTCATGGTAGCACCATGACACTTTCACCTTGGATCTTTGTTTGGTTCTTCATGTTGTAGTGTAGGTGTCAAGGTGCTTTAATGGATGCCTAGGTGCTGTCCTCTCTGGCGATAGGCTCAAGGTTCTATAAGATCCTGATCACACGCTTTGACTCTAATTTTTTCTCAAAATACCTCTTATAAAATCTCTAATTTCCCTCTAACGTTTCGTTCCTCCAAAATATTTACTCGTGCACAAATTTGGCATGCATAACACGATAACTAACAAAAAATCAAGATACAATCATAAAATATAGCCCACAACATGTGCTGTCAAATAAGGAGGTTTATCTTTTAAAATTAACTGTATATAGTGCTACTGCTACCTCAGATGTACTTGACATCTTGTTCCAAAATGCCTTTAGTTTATCAAAAAATACACGGGTACTTCCACATACAAAGTTTTGAATTTGTTTTCATTTTCCTTTTCTTGTTTCTTAAAAAGGTGCTGGATTTTATCTCAATGCTACACAAGAGAAATGGAAAAATTGGCGTATGTACGATTATGTTGTAAAGGAGTTACCTAAACTCCTGAGTGACAACTTTTCTCAGCTTGATACATCACGGGCATCCATATTTGGTCACTCTATGGGTGGGCATGGAGCTCTAACAATCTACCTGAAAAACTTGGACAAATATAAGGTATTTGATGCTAATTTCTCATTTTATTTTCTGTTCAACTCTTTTCCTTTTTTGAAACTGTTCTGTTTAAGGTTCAGACAAAAATAAAATACCATTATGATTGCTTGGGATCCTTTCGTTCAACAACTTTTCATCAGAGAAAAGAGTTATTTGTTTGACAGGACTCTGTAGTACACTCCCCCCACCCCAAACACTAGAGAGGAAAAAAGAAGGGGCCTTAGCCTCTCATTTGTTGCTTCCAACTGTAAATAAATTGTTGTTTTTAATGTAGTTATTTTTCTACTTAATTTTCCAGTCAGTATCTGCCTTTTCGCCCATTGCGAATCCTATAAACTGTCCCTGGGGCCAGAAGGCATTCACAAATTATCTTGGTAGCAACAAAGCTGACTGGGAGGTGAGTTTTATGAGATATTTAGACTTATTTTACCATTTAATGTTATGATGGAAATTTAAAATGATTGAAATTGAATAACTGCAGGAATATGATGCTACTCATCTAATATCTAAGTTTCACGATGTATCTGCTACCATTCTAATTGATCAGGTAATGCTTTTTGTTCACTCAACTTTCACAGGGCAAATTGTTCCTTCACATCAGTGACATTGTTTTAAATTTGGTTTTGTTCTTGAACATTTATCCATTTTTCATTTTCGTATTTAAACTTTTAGAATTTTGCTATTGGCTTTGAACTCTGTATTCACTTTTTATTTTGGTTCTTTCACTTGAATTTTTTTCTCTTTTAATTCAAATTTAGTCCTTGTCATAAAAACTATATTCAAGTTATGGAAAATATTGTCTAACACCATTCATTTTCCATATTTATTATTTAGATTTCAGTTTTATGGTAAGGAGCTTGTTGAGAAATAGTTTTAAGGCGTTGAATGCCTCAAGACTAACGCTGACATGAGAAATCATGGCATTTGATTTGCCAAAATAAAAAAATCACTATTTCTTTTCTTCATCTCTCTTTTTTTTCATCCTTGTCCACAACGTCTCTTTTATTCTGTTCTTGTCAAAAACATTTTTGCTAGGGTTATTCGTGAGGTTTTGAACATATATCAATGTCAGTTATTTATTCAAGAACGCTTACCACCACCCGAGCTCTTGCTTTGCTTGCATTCTTCACTGGCGCTTGCTGAAGATGTATATAGAATTTTGAATTGTGGATTTGGTAATTAGCACACAATAAACTTTTAGAGAATTTTTAGAGGGGCCATCACAATGTGACTGATAGTCTTAGACCGTTATTGGATACACGAGAGAAAAATTACAAAACATATTTCAAGTTTGTATCTCTTGATTACTAGGGGATATAGATTTTCAAATCTACATCCAACAGTTACTGGCTTACTCACACATGTTGATATTGCCCCATCTACTCTCCTCGTCAATAGACATAAAATGTTGGTTTTAATCTTATAGGGGGAGGACGACGAGTTCTTACATGGACAGTTGCTGCCACACAAGTTTGAAGAGGCATGCAGGGCTGTGAAAGTTCCACTCCTGTTGAGGCTGCAACCAGGTTACAATCACTCTTACTTTTTCATTGCTTCTTTCATTGAAGATCACATCCGTCACCACTCTCAAGCTCTTAGGCTTCCTTAAAAGCTTGTGCTGCTTATGATCTGCTGTCTCTCATATCTAATTTTCTATCCTCTGAGAAGTTAAGGCATGGTGGCTCTGTAATTTTGGTGAATATGGTGATGTTATTTCAGTGTCTTCTGGATCTCCAGTGTGAATGGTAAAATTGTCTTTGCTTTGGCTCCTTGCTAGATATTATAATAGAAGCTTATTTTAGCCTAATAATTTTTCATTTTATTTGTTGGGTTTAAATGCTACTTTGATCTCGGTACTTTTGGGTTCAGTCATTTTGTCCATATATTTTCAAAATGTCTATTTTGATTCTCGTACTTTCAACTTTTGTTCATTTTAGTCTCCGTCCTTTCAAAATGTTCATGTACTCTTAAAAAGTGACCATTATATTCTCTTATGCTTCACCTTTATCTCATTTCTTTCGGTCGCAATTTTAATATAGCACTTCACTCACTAAATTTCTTGAAATGTAGTCATAAATTTGTATTAAGAGGTTTTCATTGTGTATAAAATTTACGTTAAAATGAACTAAAATGGTCATCTTTTGAAATTATTACAAGGGCCAAAAGAGACATTTTGAAAGTATATTGACTAAAATGAACAAAAACTGATGAACTAAAGGAAAAAAATAAGGATTAGTAAAAGGGTTATATTTTTTGAGAAATTTTGTGTGATCTAATTGATGCTCTTAAAAGGTAGTTTTGTTGATCCATAACCGGTTTTAACCTTTTCTGTCATCCATTAATGCCAATGGGTTCAATTGATAAATGTCTATTGTAATTTTATTTTTTAAAAAGATAATTAAGAATGTTTCAGTTTTAAGAATAATGTAATTTTACTTTAAAAAAATGTTCCAAAAATAGAGTGGTTTTTAAAGTAATAAATAAAAATGTAAATTCAATAAAAAAAAATAATAACATAGGGTAAATGAATCAACTAGTGATAAAAATTTGTTATGCCATGTAAATTGACGTGTACAATGGGTGCTGGGTGTTGAATCAGTAGTGCAAATCAAGTATGTCTGCATGCATCGTGTCACAATCACCTTGTTTCTACCTACAAGTAAGTCAGCTAACTAGAAATCGGATAGTTGCTGGTACCACGACTATATGTCGCAACCTCCACTCCCATTCTCGAGAAAACAGTTTAGAAAACGGGGTTAGAGAAAAAGTTTTAGAAAATGTTTGAAAACATTTTAGAAAGTTTGTTGTATAACTTGAATGCAAAAGAATAGATAGCGGAAATACAAGAATAATACAACTCTTTGTAGGAGGGTGACTAGGTGTACCCTTAATACATTTTGGAACATGTTGCCTAAGTGCAAAGTGACGAGGAGTAACTCGCCACCAAAAGTACAATAACTGTAAACAACATGTAAAACGGAATACATGACGTAAAAATAGGAGGGAAGAGAGTGTTATGGGCATGCGGCCATGGACAACACACCTTGGACGAACATGACCATAATACATGGTACATGATTTGCTTAAAATTTCTTAAATTTAAATAAATCAGGTGTATTGTATGCCTGTAATTCTTTGGAAAAGTCCAGTTCTCTTTGTCTTCGAGCTTTCATTCCCCAATCCACAATTTTCTTAAATTTATGTAAATTACATGTACTATACGATGTTTTTCTCTCTCGAATCCGCTTGGGGTACTAATCTTTGGTCGAGTGGCCAAATAAGCTTATTTCTTCACTTTAATTTTTCTCGTCATCTTTCCATAGGTGTGATGCCTATATGCATTTTTTAATCTTAAAACTAAAAAGAGAGAAAAAAAAAAAGGGATTTCAAGAGTATTTTTCTAATTTCTCTTGCTCACTCATCACACATACATATGTTATATGCCTTGACATGTGAGAAGATGACAATAATATTCTGAGATTTGTTATATATCAACCTCTTACCATATAAATTAAATTAAATTCAACATGCATTTAAGAATTTGAAATCAAGCTTGAAACATTTATTTTATTCAATTTTATTAGGTAAAAAAATATCGAAAGTAAGAGAGTACTCATATTGAAATTAGTGACAATAAGTGTTTAAAAACTTTTAAAGAAAATTACATACCATAGACACAATTTAACGTACACAGTTTACTGACGTAACTCACATAGAATCTGTACAATTTACAAACGTCATGTACACATCACCAGTAAGTTGTGTGTATTGACATGAGTTCACCGCATCAATTCTAAATCGTGTGCTAGGCACATGATTTACCTTAAATCATTTGTGTCGCTAATTACATGTAACTTATGTCAACCATACGCTAAATCACATCCAACCCAAACGATTTACTTACCTATTGTGTTTGGAAACTAACCTAATTCAGTTTTTTTTTCTTTTTTAAAAAAAATACATTATTTTTTATTAAAAAAAATCCATCGGTTTCATTGTTATGTATATTTTGGGTTAGTATATCTTGAATCTTATAACTTTGTTTAAAAAGAAGAAAGAAGTTGTTAGATACTTGGATTTCGGTCTTTCCGGTCCTCTCCAAAATGCACACCAAACTCGATGATCAAGGGATCGAATACCTACAAAACCGAGTAACCCTAAACTGGTGTGACTACTGTCACACGGGCTCCAATGCCTAAGTTAGCTATGGGAGAATAACTCAGCAAGCAAGTATATTTGGCATGTGTTTTAGCTTACCGTCAATGGGGGACTCCCCCTCCTATTTATGGTTGATCTTCTCCCTAGGGTTTCACGAAATGTAATGCTCAGTAATCTCACAATAGTCGGGATGATATGTGTGGACCTATAGGTCCGGACGTCTCCAGCAACCGAAGAGGAGGAAGAACGGGCTCTATCTTGGGCCGAGCCTGGCTCGACGTCGAGCAGGGGTCGAGATCGAGCCCTGCTTGGCTCGACTTGGCCTTCGTGGGTCGCCTTGTAGGTCCTCTTTGGCTCATTGCAATCTACTTGTCTACCGTTTTCTATCTCATAACCGAAGTATATATTGCTTCAAACATTTTTGAAATTTGATTTAGTTATGTTTCAAGTAAAAAAGATGCTGAATTTTAACAGGTTTGGTTAAATATTTTTTGGACTGATTTTTTTTTTTGGAAAAAATATTTGAGAATGTTGTGTCATACCTTCCATATCCAATCCATAAGTGATTGATATTTGAGAATCACCGTTAATACCTCAGTGTAGGTCCGGGATAATCCTTTGTTCTATAGTCGGGGTCTATTTACAACTAGCCAATTAATAATTTTTGAATGTACTAATACTAGCAAGTGCATCTATGCAGTCATCGGATTCTCCTTAGAGGTCACAATTACCATGAGCAAATATATTAATGACGAATAACACATTTTTGCTATTCTACTAATACTTGTACTTGCCCTGTTGTTCTACCCAAATCTGGCTGAGGAACAATTACGAGGCATAGAGCAAAAAAAATATGCTAATTCGAGTTGGGCATACTATATTTAATTTATAACAAAACTCCACTCTTAACCCATTTCTTTTATTAACTTCATTAATATTTACGAATTTTGAGTTCATTTCAAAAAATAAATAAAGTAATTAGACTCAAACAGACCTATTATTAGGCTTTTATCTAATATAATATTGCAAATGTGGTGGTAGGAATTCAAATTTTAACTTATAGCAAGAACTTCTAATGGTTTTTTTTCAAGTACAAGAGCTACTAATGTTTAACCGTTAAATTATGCTCAAATTTGGTATAATTTTCGATGAAAATTGTTATTGATGTCTGAAATAGTATTGTGTCTCATTCAATTATGACTTTTTTTTTTCACCTTTAAAAAATATTCTTGATTTGTTCACGTTTTTATAAAGACTTAAAATTTTAGTGAAATTTCAAAAAGAAAAGTAGATTTTTTTATTAAAAAAAAACTACTTTTAGTATTTCAAATTCGACAAATGTTCAAATTTCAAAATGCCTTTAAAAATTGCATTATAGGTTAAGGAAATTCCAAGTATACTTTTAAAAATAAAAAATTAAATAGTCATTAAATTGATAAATAAGAAACTAATTCAAGACAAAAGATTAAGATTTTAGTAACCATTCTCGAATGGTTTAATATTAAAAATCCCTTCCATCAAGATTAAAAGAGTTTAGAGGTAAATATATGATTAATTCAAAAATCAAGTCTCACCCTTTAATAGTATTATCTATTTATCTTTTAGAATTTCAAATCCTTGATGTTTAATATTTTTATTTTTTAAAACTTATTTTAAACATAATATTTATGTATGTGGAAATTGTCTTTTGAAAGGGATAGTTTCTTTTATATATATATATATATATATATATATAAGAAACTATATATACATACATATAAAAGAAATAAGGAATAAAATAAAAGAATATACCAGTAACATATAAAAGAACAACACTGACAAACTGCAGTAAAAGAAAAATAACACTTAACTAATAATTCCAAAAAACCTTCGAAGCTGCCACCCACTAAAAGTATTAAATCTAACCATCTTTCAAATCTCTTTCTAAAACCTCTCCATCTCTAAATATTATATTGTTCCTAGTAAACAAAATGTCCCATAAATAGCACAAAAAATAAATAAATAAATAAAAAGAGAGCATGCAGTAGGATTCCTCTATCCCGAAAGGAGGGAATAACAACACATCCATCATTGCCCTACGTTTCGTGCTACAAGTAAAGGAAACCTAAAAAAACTCGAAGAACCAACCCCTCGGATAAACCGGACAAACCGGCAACTCTACAAGGTCCTAAAAAGCACTTATGCAAAGGACACATCACCAGAGACCTGACAAGAAAGGAAAAACATCCATGAATACAATCTTGGATATTAAGGATACTTTTTGACTGGTAATCAGAAAACAGAAATTTGAAAAACCAGAGTTCTATTTTTTGTTTTCAGAATTTCTACTGTTTGGACCACAAAATCCAAAAACAAATTTCAAAAACAAATCTAACCAAACGAGTCTTAACTTTCTCATGCAAAACCTACTAAGCAAAGAGAACTAGACCTTTTTTAAAAAAGGAACTACAAAAAAATTATTACAAAGAAGTGTGAGAGCACACTCCAAAAGATTAAAAAAGGAACTACAAGAAAAACCAGATGGGCTAGGGGACCAAACACGAAGGTCCTCTCCCCAAAAGAAGTGAACGTTACCTAATAACAAAAGCAAAGCAGCAACCTCCAACGATTCCCAATCCATCAAAGACCGACTGAGACTCAAAGAAATTGAAGTATAATACTCACATGACTCCGAAATAGAGGCCACTAAATGCAACCTCATATTAGAAAAGTGGTATAAGTGAGGGAACAAGAGACACAGAGGTTTGTCACCCACTAAACAATCCTTCAAGAAATAAGTCTCAATACCAACCAACTAGGAAAAAATTGGAAAGAGGAAATAGCCTTCCTCGAACATTTACAAGAAATCCGGAGACTACTAGCTAAGACTCGTTAAAAAAGCTATGCCCATATTTTCTCATGATTATCCTACGCCACAAGACATTAGGTTCCTAAGAAAAACACCACAAGCAAGCCAATGAGCTTCGTTTTTTAGTCTAAAATGCTCAATTCCCCACCCCCTATAATCTTCCATGTCTCGATTTAATGGGGATTCTCTCTCCCTTACCTACCTAACTACCTAACTACTTGCTCTCATCTTTTTTTTCTTGTTTTTCTTGTTTAAGTTAAATAATATGTGGAGTGAAAATTCAAACCTTAATTTTGATTGATAATGTCTTGACCAATTAATTTATGCTCAAGTTGTTGGTTGCTCATCTTTTGCATCTTCTCCATAATCTTCTTCTCAAGAGGTCCAAGGTTTGAATCATCACCTCACATGTTCCTAAACAAAAAAAAGAAAGGAAAAAAAATCTCTCGTAGCCTTCTCCCTCGTTATGCTCTTATCTCTTCCTCGCTCTCTCTCCCCGGCTTCTTTTTTCCCATCCCCTCTTCTCCTTGGTCTTAAAAGAATAATTATAACAAATAACAAACAGAATCAGAAGGCACAAAGAAAAAGAAGGTTCAAAAAGCGAATTTGTTACCAGACATGCTTAATAAAACAAACTTACAATGACATTTTGACAGCACAAAAAACAATAATACTAACAATAACAATAATTACAGAGACGACAAGAGAATTAACTCATAATGTACTATACAGAAGTTAACACGATGATGATGAAAATTCCTTTCTTTTGTCACCGAAGATTCATCTTGGAAGTTTAATATGTATGGCAACAATATAGACGGAAAAAATATATATATTTATACATATATTGATATAATTACAGAAGATTTTTTCGGAAAAAAAAAAAGAAAAAAAAAATAGAGGATTTAAGGTTACCTTCATCAATTGGTAGTGTGACAGCGACAAGCATAATATGTGAAGAATTGAATATATACAAGCTCTCTTGTTCCCTCTCCCATTTTCTTTTTTGAGCTCTCCTCCACTGGCTTGCAGAAAAACAGTCAGGAAGGGCAACATTTTAGCGTCGTGACATGGACGGGCGAACAAACAGTGCCAGCTTATCGAGGGTACTTAAACAGGAGGGAATGCAGTAGGGGCCATGCCATGAGTCCAACGAGGGGCATGAATTATACCAGGTTATCTTCAATGTCGTACGCAGTTGATCAATAAGATCAAACTCCATGACCAAAGTTTGGTTGCTTCGCAGGATGACATATGCCCCCACTGAATCCGACTCATGACTGCTGGCTATTGTGGATATTGAGTCTGCTCCAAAATCCCCATAGTTGCTGGTACAAGGTTTTCATTTACACTCTTGGTTGGTCTCTTTGGTCTCTTTGGTTTCTGAGTTTGAGATTCAAGATTTTTCCGCATGTCGTCCAACTCAAAGTCAACCACTGCACTAGTTTCGCTTATCTTTTGTAAATTTCGAGTTTTCGATGGATTTTTTTTGTCAGAGGGTCCTTTTCTCTGCACAGACAACAGTGTAAATTCAATACATTTTAATAGGAAAAACAGCTTCTCCCTGGGAATAGGCAATGGTATATGCATATTTGAAAGGAAACACTTCTAGTTAAGCATGATCATCAGCATATCTACCTGGCTACAGTGAACTACAATATAAAATGCAACAAATCTGCTTGTACACCCTTAAATAGTTCATTCACAATTTGTTGGGAGGCTTCAACCACCCCCAAGACGAGCTCCAGGAAACATAGATTCAAATTATTAAAATCTCAACTTGAGGCCCTCAACCTCGGACTTTAGAATGTATCTCTACCCCTTATTATTTCCATGTTCTGTTCTTTCATCTTTCTCAAAAAAAAAAAAATAATAATAATAAAATAAAGTGTTCAAATCTGTGGGACAATGGTCTCACCACAATATCCTAAAAAACACTTGATGAAGTGAACTTTAAATACTGGACGATCAGTGAGGAAATGATTATGGATTGTTACTCAGGTTTGAAAGAATAAATACCCAATATACAAAATAGAATCACAAAGATCTAGAACAATGTAAATTCCGCTCACCTTTGCCCAAAATTCCATGACTAGATAAATTCATATTTTTCTCAAATAAACTACCAAGTTTGAAACATCAATATTTGTCTGCATCTGCAATAAAAAACATAGAGAAAGTCCAATACCTTTTTACTGCTGGATTTAGTTTTTTCTAGATCAGGAGATGGATCATATTCTGTTCCCCGGGGTTCAGCATTCGTTAAATCCTCCAATGATGCATCACCCTCAGCATCAACTCGTATACCCTTTGCTTGTTTTTTCTTTTGTCTATCCTTTGCCTGGCAAAAAAAAAGGTTTTTAAGAATCTGAAGATGGAAAAGGATACAAATATAGTTTCTGTTTGGAAGCCATTGGATCAGAAAAATGAAATACATAAATAGACTGGACCCACCACAACAGGAATTTCTCGTAATTTTTGCTCCAACTGGGCATCATCCAGAAGTAAAGATACAACATCCTCAGGAGCTAGGATATCTCCTTGAACATGACCACCGGTCATGACAAGCTGCTGAACAGTGTTTTTCTGACTAGCTCTTTGAAGAATCTTCTCTTCAACTGTTTCTTTACATATTAGTCTGTATACGGTGACCTACAAAGCAAGTTGCAAGTAAAAGGTTTATAACCAAAGAACAAAAGAAAGTGAGGAAGGGAAAATAAAATAAAAATAAAAATAAGAGAGAGTACTTCGCTAGCACACAAAACTTACTCAAAGACTCGAGAAATTATGTTTCTAGTACTTGGAAATATTTTTATCGTAGTCCATAAACTTACATTTTTTTCAATTTGATCCCACATTTTATTTAAGGTCAAAATTAGTCCAACCATGAACTCTATTAGTAAGAATATCAACATAGTTCTAGAACAATTTATAATTTGGCAGAAAAAGACTGATGTACGACTCCTTGGAGCTAAAAATGATAAGAATAAGATGAATGGAAAACTAACATCTTTTGTTTGTCCCAGACGGTGAGCTCTATCCATGGCCTGTAAATCCAATGTCGGATTCCAATCACTTTCATAAAAGATGACAGTATCAGCAGCTGTCAAGTTAATGCCAAGTCCACCAGCTCTTGTGCTCAACAAGAATACAAAAATATCACTCCTACAAAAAGTAATGGATTATTGCAATACAAAATAAGATTAGCATGCTAAGATGCAGAAATAAACATCATTTTGATGTCAAGAGTCCATACCGATGTTGGAAGTCCCTGACCATATCTCGACGATCCATTATAGTGGAAGATCCATCAAGTCTGAGATATCTATACTTCCGATAGTTCATGTAATCCTGCAGGGACAACATATTGTAACAGGCAGAGGCCAAACAAACTCCAGAAACCTTGTTAAACGACAAGCCCATGGTGCGTATTTGGTTATTGTCTTGTTTTAAAATTTCAAGTAGCCAAGAAAAGATGGTTAAAAGTTCAAGGACCAAAAACCATGATAAAATAAATGAAAGGGATTTGAGCCCAGCCCACTATCATGCAACATTAAAAAAAAAACTTAATTCTTTATTTTTTCCCCTCTTTTCTCAACAGGGTGAAACCTAATGCAAATCTATGTAATAAATTTGATATTTAACAAACGAAACTGTAAAGCCCAGAACAACATGGATGAAGAGCAGATACCTCAAGAATGTTCAACATTTTGGTCATTTGAGCAAACAGAAGTACACGATGATTTTCGGCCCGTAAGCGTTTCAGTAATATATCTAGTGTTTGTAGCTTCCCAGAGTCCTATATAAAATGAATATAAATCCATTACTGAATCTGATTTAAATAAAGATATTCCTTAAAGGAGGAAGTAAAGTGAGAAGAGAGAGACACCAACCGTGAGCAACTTTGCTGGGTCAAAACTTTGCATTGGGGGAGAAGACCCAAAAATACTGTATGTCAACCGAAGAGCTGGCTGAGAAACTGGTATTTCAGAATCAAGCTCTCGAATCAAAGGGTGAGGACCAATTGGCTTTCTTGGTCCATTAAAGTTAGATGTTCGTGCAAAACCAATAAATAACCTCTTCACCCAGGGGTCATGCAATTGTTCAACCATTTGGTAAGCGAAGTTTCTATCTGAGCAGTGGGTACCTATCTGCAAAATAGATGCAGTGACTAAGTCTTAAATAAGTACCTCAAATAATAAAGACAACTGATCATTTCACTTCTCAAAGGAAAAGGTTTCTAATTTCTTGAAAAAAAACATAGATAGTAAACTGAATACAAAAAACATACTGGGGGAGCTCTAGTTCTTGGAATAAACGTGTATGCTGAGTGAAGAAGCCCAACATTGGACTGAAGCCTATCCTGTTGAGGAATGACTAAAGCCTCAAAAGGAGCATCACCAGGCCCTGTCGCAAGCTTTCTCCTCAGTGAGTTAGTCTGAGATATGGAAGGCATCAATAACATTCTTGTAACTGCACGCACTTTTCCCAGCTCAAGAGAGGTGTATTCTGGATCATCATTGGATTCCATAATGAGGTCTATGATTCCATCAAGAAATTGCCTGTCCCATCTAATTATGGAGAAAAGTAGCCGTTCTAGAAAAGAACTATTGGCTAAAAATGTAACTTCTGCAGGCGACAGATCCATCAAATGGGTGAAACCAAAAGTACCACTTCGCCAATAAGAATGATGTAAATTGTCTCCTTGCATGAATGTGGATTGATAAACATTTTCGGAAGAAAATATGTCAAAATATTTCTGGAAATATCCTCCAAAACTGCCATGTGCAACTGCAAATGGTTTTGAACTTTGGAGAACCTCTCGATGAACTAGTTTTGGTAACTAAGAATCAAATTATCAGATTAAAACCAATATTAGACACTCGATTGAAGAAAAAGGGAATAAATTTGAAAACTAAACAGCAGTGTTCATGCTGACTTATTGCTCATATATACAAACCCTCATGACAGAAAATGTTCCCACAGATGGCAAATACAGAGAAAATGGTATGTGCTTTTCAGTAGTACACTAAAAAATATCATAGGATGTAAGAGAGAAGCATTTGAAGTACATTTTTTCCTTTTTTTTTTTTGATATCTGTGAATGTCTGGGCCACCTTGAGCACATCTCGACTATTCTCACACCCTACAACATTTGGTGTCGGGAAACACATAGAAATTAATTCCTAAGGTAGGTGGTCATTATGGGTTTAAACTCATTCCCTCTCAATTTGTCCTAGCCCCTTTGGACCAATGAGCCACCTATGATGGTTATTTAAAGTACAATGTTCAAGATGCTTGTCCTTAGACACAGCATTATAAATCATGGTTGGATTTACAATAAATGCTAAATGCTAACTACTTCAAAGCTACCACATCTTTATACCCAAGAAAAAGAATTAGGTATGCAGCTGCCCAATACAACCATTGGTGTGTTACATGTAATACAGCTCACCTAATACTTAGTAATCTTTCAGGCCCACAAAAAAAAATGCAAATATGAATGAAATTTGTAGGATCACAGGAAGCTATTAAGAGATGGGGGATATTCTCAAGTCACAAAGCCAATAATTAATATGTTTGGTATGAATGTAACTCTTTGTTTCTAGGTAAATGGAAATGGACATGCATTTTATCAACTAGTAATAGAAGCAAAAGTGGAAGTACCTTAAACTCTATGAGGTTGTGACCTCCTGAGTAGTGTACGTCCTCGGATTCCCCAAAAGGCGGAGGCAAAAGAGGATTTGGAATGTCTGCAAAGTACAGGTATGTGCTTCCCTCGTTCCTTTCAAACAACTCTGGGTGATTGCACACCTACCACATTTACATTGTTTAAAAACAATTATCTGTAATCGTTGTTATATAAGAAGTACTCTGTACCATGCACAAGGATTCAGTGAAACTAGAAAATGTGCAATAAAACATTGAAACAAATATGCATGCATATACATATTTACACACAGACCAAATACCTTTCTCAGCTGAATGACAATGTTCATGAGATTGAGAATTTTCTTCTCATTAAGATGTCGATTGCTGTCAAACAATTCAGCAAGTGATATCTTATTCTTGATAGCTTGATAAAAAGCTTGCTGCCGAGAACTTAACTTGCAATGCACTGTAATCTCAGTTTTTCTTGTAAGCTCAGAGATTACATCCTTTTTCACTCTCCGTAGCATAAAAGGCTTTAAAATTGAATGCTGTTTCAGAAAAATGAGAAAAAAATAAATAAGTCAACAAAGTCAAAGTGCATTGCAACATACTGAATCTTTTATAACTCCAACACTGGATTTCTTCCATGATCCAAATTCAATTTACTGATACAAATTATAACTAAGAAAACTTTCTTAACAAAGATGAAAATAGACTTTAGAATCCAAACTAATTAAAGAACAATGAAGTCTTGATTGAGAGATATCTTTGTTTCGGAGTTTCATGATATAATGAATATATAGGATAGGCTACATAAAAATGAAGCTATATTAGAAAGCAATTCTAAGGCCATTCGTTGACCCCAACAAGTTCTTTTTCAGGGAGGGTGAGGTGCATATAGCTAAATTTATTTTTATCAACAGCTAAATAAATTTCAGAGTTCCGATGTGAAAATTTTGTAACTTGCTTCTGTATATGGAATTAACTCGTACAAGTCTATAGTATAAAATGGGAAGGAAACTTCAAAAGCGCCTCTCTTCATGAAAAAAAAAAGCCTTTTTTTTCTAAAGGGGTAGACTAACACTTATTCAGACTGTTCTAAGTGGTATTCCAACTTACTACCTGTCCTGTTTAAGATTCATGTGTCAGTGGTTTGAGAAGATTACTAGGGATTTCCTTTGGGAGGGAGTGGATGAGGGGAGTGTGACGTCAGCTAATCGAGATACCATTTCAAGACCTTTGGAGGTAGAGGGTTTGGGAATTGGGAATTTGAGGCTTAGGAATGAGGCTTTGTTGGCTAAATAGTTGTGGCGTTTCTTCCAAGAACCTAGTTCCTTATGATGTAGAATTATCGTGAGCAAATATAGGCATCATCCTTTTGAATGGGTCTCAACTGGAGGGCTTAAGGTGTGTGCGCTATTTCATCTAGTTTCCCCTTTTCCAAATTGTTAGAAGTTCTGTGGGGGATGGGCCTAATACCTACATCTAGGAGAACATTTGGGTGGTGGGAGATAAACTTCTTTCCTTTTTATTCTCGCGTCTTTACCACCTCTTTGATAAGAGGATCCTAGGTTCTGGAGTTGAGGGGGAGTGCATCTTCGCTCTCTTTGGGTCTTAGTTGCCCCTTGACAGGTAGAGAAACTACAGAGGTTTCTACCTTGCTTCTTGTGCTTTTCCTTTTAGCAGGGGGAGGAAGAATTTTCAGGTCTGGTCCCCTAGCCCTTTCAAGGGGTTTTCTTGTGGTTCTTTCTTCCATTGGTTGAGTTCTCCCACTCTTCCCTTTTGCCTTGTCGTTTGCCTAAAATTCTAAACAAGATCAAATTCTTTGGTTGGCAGTTCTTACATGGAAAGTCAACACCTTGGATCATATCCAAAAGGCGTTCTTCTTTCCTAGAGCCTCAAAGGTGTGTGCTTTGCAAAGGTGCCTCAAAGAATCTTGGCCACTGGTCTTGTACGCTTTGGGGTGTCTTCAACTCATAACAGAGATTGTCGGGCAATGATAAAGACAGTGTTGTTGTCCTCCCTTTTTGGTGTAAGAGAAGGCTTTTGTGGTTGGTTTGTTTCTTTGCTATCTTATGAAAATTTTTCCCCGAGAGTAATAGAACCTTTAAGGGGGCGAGAGAGCAACTGAGGTTGTTTGGGATCTTATTAGATTTAATACACTCCTGTGGAGTCGATTTCTAATGACTTTCGTAATTATCAGTTAGACTTAATTCTAGTGGATTGGAGCCCCTTTCTCAAGGGTGTCCTTTGGTTGGACTATTTTTTTGTATGCTATTTTTTTATTTTTCTCAATGAAACAGCGGTTTCTCATTATTAAAATAATAATAATAAACTTCTGTTATACTGAATTCTTCAAGTATGAGATCCATAAGGATCTGACAGTGCAACACTTGTTCCCAATCTAAAGTTCTAAACAAAGAACTTCCCGTATGTAACTTGATACAGGAGTAGTTTCATTTCAACAACTAAATTAGAAAAGTTGGGAGATTGCTGAGTTAACCAGTACTCACCAAACGGTTAAGCTGGTGCTCATTCAAAGTACCCCCATGCTCTGCATGATTTTCAATTCTGCAAGAAAAGTTATATAAATCAAAAAAATTACTTAGCATAGTTTGATTAAATCACTGTAGCTCATCCAATCAATACTGACCCTTTCGAAAACCACTCATTGAACTGTTCGTGACTGTCAAATAAAGTAGGCATGATGAAATGTAAAAGAGCCCACAACTCGGCCATATTATTCTGGACAGGTGTTCCAGTAAGCAGCAAGCGGTTCCGACAATTAAAGCTTAGCAGTGTCTTCCATCTTATGCTGCCAATTTAGAAACCAATAACACATTACAGTAGAGCCTAAACAATAGCCATAAATTGTGGTGGCTCTGCTGAGAAATACTATTCAACTGTTTGGTTGTTTAACTAAAATACTCAGAACACAAGCATTAAGAATTTATGTTAACAAAAGTATAGCACGTGTAGGCACATGAGTTCCCCAATCCGTTTAACTTACAAAGGAAAGCATGTACAGAAGGCATAGAGGAAAAGGGAGAAAATTAGATATGTTTAAAGAGTTCTGTGAAATTAGGGAAGTGGGCCCTTAGAAAGTTATTATGGGCAGACAGCATATAAGGTACATAGGAAGTTGCTGAAAAGGATTGGTTGTAATTTTGTGTAATCTGTGGAGAGAACAAGTCCTCTCGAAAGAACTAGAAACCTTTTAACTTGTTCTTTATCTTACTAACTACTAAGTAACAAAAAAAGGAACTCTTCCAATTGTCTAAAAGCATCCTTTCCTCGATCCAAATGCTTCTCAGTTAGATGGGTCATTTACAGAAGTTTCTACTGAAACATTAAAAGAGGGAGGGAGAAACAAAGCCTTTCACCATCAAAAAAGGAGAGAAGGGGGACAAAAAAATCCACCCTGGGCCAAGAAGATTATATACATCATATTAAAATAAATTTTTTATAAATTATTATATTTATATATAAAAAATAAAATATAAAAATAAAAAACTCTCTAATTGGCCAAATGGATATTTGTTGAGTGTGCACACATTGGCCAAGATATCTCATTCAATAGATATCTTCGCATACTCAGCATAATAACCAGTTCTATGACAATTTTTCAACAATTTAAGTTTCTATACTACTATCTTTTCAAACTTATAGTTCTCTTTACAGGCCATAGGGAAGTACCCATCGGTAGAACAACCGTGGCTAGAGTTTGCCTATAACTCAGACAGGGAGACTAAATAAATAAATGCATATGGCACCAAGGCCCAACCAACAGAGTATATGAGCTACAGCCACGTGTGAACGAATGAGAACAAACCTCGTAGAACTTTTGATTGCCTGAGCCTCATCCAATACCATATATTGCCACTTAACACGCCGAAAATACTTCTCATCCGAAACAAGCAGCTGATAGCTGGTAATGAGGATGTGAAAACCAGCATCCCTAGAAGGAAAAAGAAAGAAAACAACTAGCATGAGAAAATAAGATGATAACCAGCATCTATGGAAGGACAATAACAGGCAAGAATAAATAAGATAATGACATGGTGAAATAAAATATTATTAAATCCACATAAATAGAAAAATAATTCTTTTGTTCAAGGGATAACTAAATTAAATTCAAGTCAACCAACGGTCAACAAGATAGAATGAATATTCTTGACTTCATCAAGATGAAGTCAGCAAAGTACTTGAACGTCTTAGGCCATATTTACATTTGTCAAACAAAAAAGGGACGAGGTAGATGACCAGAAGATTCTTAACTTAGTTAACTTTATTCAAACTATATGTTCTTAATCATCCAGACTAGGAGGAGAGAGCAAAGGACACCAAATCTGGGTAAGTGCACGTATGTGATATACTGATATAAAAGCTCAGCCTAAGCCTTTAATTTTTGTTCTTTTAAATATACCTTAAAAATCTATAACTTCAGATTACCTGCGATATAAATTCTTGGGATTGATCTTTTTCCTGAGAACTGTACGCTCAGAAAGCCCGCCCCAATATGGAAGAGCTTTCAAGTCAGGGCAGAAACGATTGATTTCATCAACCCAGTTGTTCAAGACAGATGCAGGTGCAACAACTAGAAAAGGCCCCCATATATTTTTATCCTGATATGGAAAGAGTGGTGATCACAGCCAATTCAAAGAAAAACATAATACTTTAAAAACTTAGTATGATCATTACCTCAGCCAAATGGGCCAAAAATGCCATCGCCTGGATGGTCTTTCCAAGGCCCATTTCATCGGCAAGTATGCCATTTAAACCCTGTAGATAACCATGGCCACCAAAGCTTAACTTCAAAAAAAAAAAAAAAAAGCAAATCCAAGATAACCATTTCACAATAACTGCATACAACCTGCTCATAACAATTGACCAACCATTGGAGACCTTTTAGCTGATATTCTTTAAGGCTGCCTTTGAACAACTCGGGTGTCTGTACTGTTGACGTTACAGGCATGGTTGAGCTGCCAACCAGAAATATAGTTTCATCAACTTGACTAAAAAACTGGTGCTGCCTCAAACTACAAAATGGGAGTAAAAATTTGAAAAACAAAAAAGAATAGTGAAATAAAAAATAAAAAAACTCACGGATGAACCAGATCTATGTTATTAGCTCCAGCAACCTCATTTTGAGAAGCCTCGGGCTCAGAAGCTAGGCGTAGCCTTGAGCATTCATCATCAAATGCACTTGTTAACATTTTCTGCTTCGAGACTGCATCTTGAGCAACTCTAAGTGCCTCCTTCTTCAGTTCAGCCTCCTCAGGATCTTCTTCCTCAACAGGCACACTATCTGAATTCCAAGTCCCTTCTTCATAATCTGGGTTTTCATCTCCCAAAGGCAGAGCCTCAGAAGGATGCAAATTTGATTTGTTCTGCATAAAATGACTATAAAGTTCTGTCTGTTGTATAAGAAAATTGAGTCTCTGCTGTTGTCTCTTAGCTTCTCGAAGTTCCTGCTCTCGCCTCAAAGCTTCAGCAGCTTCTCTTTCCTCTCTTTTCCGCACTTCGGCCTGAAAAGAAAATAAACAGAGAGAACTGAGATGTGAATTCCAGAGAGAACTGAGATGTGAATTCCACATCTTTGTACAATAAATAAGACCACATAAATATACTTATTTTCTCACAAGATAAAGAGAAGGGTTTACTTTTAGTCAGGTTTGAAGTTTTCAGTTTAACTGTTTTTCAAAGGTTAAGACAACATGCATAATCTTATTGGGACCTGATCAACCCAACCACTGCAATAAATCATTCCTACATCGAATGAGTACAGGGGAAAGCAAGCTAGGGAAGGAGATTGTGTTTGAATTGAGAGAGTATCTGGCTTATTTTCCGACCTACAATAGTTAAATTAGAATTGCTTCCCTGAAAATTTTCATACCTCGTACCCACCCATGTTTTCTAGAACATAAAGCCATCAGAAGCTTAAGCATTGGGCTAAAATGGAAGTACAGGCTTCAATGAGGTGAGACAGATAAGATGAGAAAAATTCAAGTACATGAAGCATGAGACACCAAAACAGAAAATTTATCTGAGATATTGTTCACATAGGGCATTATGTCAAGTTTCATCCCTAGTATTATAGGAGATAAAAGAAATTAATGCCAGGTAGAAATGCGCAAGGCACACGCTGCAACACCAAAACATGTGCCTTATAAGGTTGCCGCATCTTATATCAAGACAGAAGCATGCTTAGACACAAATTTTAAAACCCTAATTGCAACAAAAATAAGATAAATACTCCATAGGGTAGGAAAAGAAGAATACCATCTCCTTATCAATTCGCTTCCAAAAGAGCAACATGTCTCTAGCTAATTTCCTTGTCCGAATAGCAGCACCCCTCATTAATTTAAGAGATCTACTAACCTTCATTTTTACCTGGTTAAGAAAATGACACCATGATTCATGAAGTCATAATACAAACATTTCAAATAACGTGTAAAATTTGATGCTAACGTTCAGACCAAAACCCTAACTCTAATCAGGAATAAGTTATACATGCCTCCCTTTGGCAAGTTTCTGAGAACCTCTTAGCATCCATTAACTGCTTTCGATGAAAGGCTGTGAAATTCCGATGGTGCTTTGGTAAGTCTCTCCTAACAATGTTGACCCAAATTTTCCCAATCTTCTCTGTTTCCTCTTTCTCTATAACTGAAGGGTCTTTCTTTACCTTTTCTTTCTTGGGCAGGCTACGTTCAATGATCTGCAGCACAAAATATATGAAAATAATATCCAATACCTCCAAAATATGAAAATAAAATGAAAAGCAATAACGAAACAAAAGAAAGGAAAAAACCGAAAAAAAAAAACATAAAATAATAGATTATAAACCTCGTAAGTGTCTCCCTTCTCCAAAACCTTCACATAGTATATTTGTAGCACGCCACCCTCGGATAAAATAGCTCGCTTAATACTTCCAGCAGCCCCCTCTGGAATGGATGAATTAAGCCCAATATCAGATACTTTGAGACTGAACTTCTGTGACGAGTTTGAAGCTGCCAAGGCATCTAATCTTGCCTGAAGTGACTCATACTGGGGCTGAGGTTCTGCCATCCCTGCTTGGCTACTGATTCCAAATCTCTTGTCACCAGCAATCATCGCTGCTAAGGACCCCAAATCCAATGTACCCTCTAAGTAAACTTCCTCTACTTGGATGTCAGAGAAGCTTGGCAAGTTCAGTGAAGCAGCCAGCTTATCATAAGTTGGGGGAATTTTGTAAGTGATTCCATCCCCAATATCCAAATATGCAGGCTCATATATTACTCTGCAAGAGTAGATAGATCTTAATATGATATCACAACTAAAATGCTTCTCACTCATAAGATAATCATTTAAAGAAGAAAACCTGTCAGGGCTACGCCGTGGAGCAAAATCTGCATCACGATGACTTCCTGGTCTATGGGGATTAACATCATTGAGCCATTCATTAGCAGTCTCCACTTCAAGAAATCCTCCTTGTTGCTCACTCCCCAACTTCCGAGCTTTTAAACTTGAGTTGCCCTTGGGCACTGAATTCCCCATGCGTGTGGGCATGGGAGATGAGGAGTCTTTAGACCTTCGCTTATACTTCTTAATGTGTTCTCCGAGCATTTGTCGATACCGCTCTTCACTAACGTGCGTCCCGTAGTAATCGTCCACACCCTCGTCCTCCTCGTCGCTGTTCAGGGACCACCTTCTTTTCCTTGCCAAACTCAGCTCTCTCTTAGTCATGGTACCATTACTGTGTTTTGAGATTGTTCTACCTGATACACATTCCACCACCAGTATATACCTCTCCAAAATATACACACACATATTTATCCCAATTCAAAAAAAAATAATAAAAAATAAAAAATCACAATCCCGCACTCTTGGTGCGTTTGCAAGGAACAAATCAGATATTACAGAGTCAATTATAATTACAAAATGCGTACCTGGGCTACCTCTGCTCTCATCCTGACTACTATTTGCATAATAATCAAAATCATCCTCCGGTTGCGGAAGTTGAAAGTTCAGCAACGGCTGCAGCAGAATTCGAAAACAAGTAAAATCACAAACCAAAAAGTAACCGAACCAACAATGCAAGAACGCTCAGCACAAAACCCAGCAACCCCAAACGAGTACAGAAACATTGCGAAACGGAAACGGCAAACCTCGAGGTTGAAGAGATTGGAGTAGAACAATTCCTTGGATTGCCTGTTACGGTCCATGTGAATCGGGGGAGCGATGCGGCGAGTGCAGTAACCCTAAGAAACGGGGCGCAGAATCTCCGCAGTGCATCGAGAGGATGGGGGAAGGGTGGAGGAGATTAGAGAGGAAGATGAAGAACTGGAAACCCTAACCCTAACCCTAACCCTAGAAGAAGAGTATAGAGAATTTGGTATTGGGAGTGGGAGTGGGGACGACGACGCAGTGTTGAGAAGAACGGCGCAGGATAAGGGAGGCGGAGAAGGAGAGGCGTCGATGATGGGCACTAACGTGCGCCGCCTACCAGTCATTTGTTTCTTTTTTTTTTCTAAACGTTCGTCACCGCCCTGTTTGTCAAAGAACAAAGAAAAAAACCCAGTCGATATGTGTCGTGATTTTATTTTACTACCACTGATTTTAAATTTTTGTAAGAAAATGTCGAAATTCAATTTTTAATATTTTCGACGATAATTGAGTATTTTTGAAGAAAGTAAAAGAACCGATCAATTTTATTAAAAATTAAATTAAATTTTTAAGGTAATTTCTATAATTTTAAAAGATTCTTTCAACCTCGGATTATTTTAGTTCATATAGTTTTAAAATATTCATTTTTGTTTTATAGTTTTAAAGAGTAACCATTTTAATCTCTATTTGTAAAATTTAAACACCAATTTTACACATTATAGACCACTTAATCTAAAGTCATTGTTACATTTCAAATAATATATTGACTATAGTGCCGTGTTAAAATTGTGATAGAAAAAGTGATATTAAAAATAAAATTAAGGGACCAAAATAGTCATTTTTTTAAGTACATGAACCAAAATGGACATTATGTCGAAACACATCAAATGTGATTATCGAACGAAGGTGGTGTGTTATTGTTATGGAAACCAGGTCATATTAGACCAAATTGTCGGGTAAATCTCAAAGAAGCAGAAACAAATACTTAAAGTAACAAACTTGAACAACCTACTTAGGATCAATGTGTGTCGATTAAAGTTGTTGCCAAAACATTATATATGTATTCTAATGCTTCTATAGATTATAATGAGATTATAATGAGGACTGGTCTGTTGTTCTCATCATATTACTATAATATTTGTGGAAGAAGAGTCAATGAGGCGGCTGATAATTCCTTGCATCCTAACGTGGAAGAAGGACATGTCATTGTTGAAAATCGTGAATCGGGCGGTATTTTTTTGTAAAGATGGTTGCCATGGTCCAAATTTGAAGGAGAACTTTGTTTCAGTCTCTCAGGTTGCTGATACTGGGAGTTTGAAACGAGTCAAATTGTGGCAGAAATTATGCTCATTCTTGTGCTAAAGATATATAGTACAAGCTTAAGTTGTTTAAATAATTTGAAGGTTAGCCTTATAGCTGGACTTGTTGCTAGGTTAACATTTGTTCTTTTGGTCAAATTATTGATTTTCTACAAGGGTAACTATAAAGGCTACACGTGCAGAGTCTTTGTAGATGTTGCATGTGAAGTTGATCGAAAATTTTCATTCGGTCAGTTGAAAGTATTTGCATGGAAGGAAAGCCTTGATGGAGATGCTTTCCAACTTGAGAATATGAGTGTTCTCTACCATCCTCGAGAACTTAAGCTTAGGGAGCTTGCTTTGGATTGGTGTACTCGAAGGTGTATGTCATTGGACAAAACTCGAGGTTTTGAGTATTGTTTTGAAAGTTGCAATCCAAAGATTACTCATCGAGGTGTTATAGTTGCTAATGTATTGCTTGATTGAAGTTTTTGAAGTCATTGTTGACGATTTGGGCTTAGCAAAGCTAGTTGACGTTAGAATGACTAATTTCACTCAAGTTTGGGAGGTAATGAGCGATATAACACTGGAGTATTTATCAACTAGAGATTCATAAAAAATAATTGATATTTTTTGTTATGACATGATGTGTTTGGACCTTGTTACACGTCGAATTGTTTTTTGTACTTCGAGGAAGAAAATGATGTTCTGCTCCTCAACCATGTCAAGAAATTGAAAAGGGAGAAGCAACTCAATGCAATAATGAATCGTTTTCATATGGGGGAGACATAAGCAATGACTACTCCTATAGAGCAAGATTGAAGCAATCAGAAGTGCAAAGTGTTGTTGATCGTATGTTTTTGTTGCCTATATGTTTGCACTAAGGGGAGTGTTAAGAATTGGTGCAAACATGTGTTAGTTTATGTTAATGTTTCCTCATTTTAAGAATTATGCTGGATAGTTATTTTCATAGTTGGAAGTTATTTTATTAGTGGGAGAGTGATGTAAGTTGGAGAGAGTTTATAGGCTTTGTGGCATTGTGGTGTTTGGTTAGAGATAATTTTAAGGTAGTGGTCTAAGTAGTGGGCTAGTGGTCGGCTATTGTCTTTCCTATAAATACTTGTAACAATTCTAAATTCAGTGAATAGAAGTTCTTCATTCATGCAACTTCTCTATTACTTTTACTTTGTTGTTCTCTTCGTTTTTGTTACAAGTCGGGTCGGGTGGTTTGACCTATGTTGCTTCCTTGACCTCACTTGAGGTGAACTGTAGTACGGTAATTTCATCCATAACAAGTAACATTCTCTTTTTTTCCCCCAGTTTTTTAGAATACATAAGCATTTGGTAATTAAAAGATCTAATTAGCATGCTAAAATATTAAACTATTAATAAAGTCTCAATTTAAGAAATCTATAAAATTATTATCAATTGTAATGGAGAAGTAAGAACAGTCCAATATAGAGAGACGACACAAAGACGTTTTTAACGTGGTTCAGTTTTCTAACCTACCACACAAGATCACGTCCATAAAATAAGATTAACAATCAAAAGTTAGTATAATTTACAATCAATACTTACTAACTTATGCATAAAAGAACTCCATTATTCTTATAAATGATGCCACAATATTTAATCGACTCCTCTTTCGATTGAATCTTTTCCCACCTGTGTTGTAGAACACTGCATGAACTCACTTCAATGGTGGATGTGTCTTCTCTCAAGGTTTTTTTTTATAAGAAACAAATAATATATTTCAATTCACAAAAAAAAAAAAAAACAAGGATAGCCTAAAGGCAGAGGGTTGAGAAAACCCTCCCCACAGAACTATACAATAGCAGCTTTCCAATCTCGTATAATCATTTGAAGGCTATAATTACAAAAATCCTTCTTGTGGGTAGTAGCCCACCAAGAAGCCATATGCTGAATATTCACACACACAAAATCCACTGAAGACTTCTTATCTTCAAAAAGTCTACTATTTCTTTCCTTCCAAAGAAGCCAAAGTAAGGCTCGAGCAGCACAGTTCCAAAGGATACTAGATTTTCCTTTTAGAGCACAGCCCCCGAACCCTTCTATAACAAAATCGTTTATCTTTTTAGGGAGGCAAAAAGTCAAATCCAGCAGCGAAGCTAAAAAAGACCACACTCTCAAAACGAACTGTCAATGGAGAAACATATGATCTATCGATTCCGACTCCCTCAGCAAGCAAACCGAAGGAGAGATGGTCCAAGTGGGAAGCTTCCGTTGAAGCTTCTCTGCCGAGTTAATGCTTCTGTAGAAGACGAACCACAGAAAAACTTCACCTTTTAAGGGACCCTGAAATTCCAAATCTGATTAGCGGTGGAGGTTGACATTTTTGGCAAAGGGGAGGTCAAAGCAAATAAAAAAACTCGCATTCTCTCCAGGTTTGATAGACAATGTTGGCTCAATTTTTGAGAGAATAAACAAATTTTGCGCCACATTTCTTCCCTGACTACGTAATAGATAGAAAGAATGATTGAAAAACAAGTAAATTTATCATAATTACAATTAAGCTCCAAATCTCTCAATATAATTAAACCACAATTCCCACCTAATCAATTTGTAAGACTTTCCAAAAAATAAAAAAGTCATTGGAAACATTTAAACTCAGATTCAAATTTTTTAGCTTCTCCCTCCTATTCCAAATCTTTTTTTTTTTTTTGTTTGGGAGATTTTTCTATACTCAAAAGAATTTAATTTGGAAGTAGCAAGTTCACCAATAATTTCCTCAATTTATTTATCTTTTTTAATAAGCAACTTATTTAAACCATCAACTTCAACTTCTAAATCCATTTTTATGAATTCTGCTGTGTAGTACCCCACGATTTTGAATGATTTGAAATTTTACCGAATTTCAAATCCTATTTTTACATTAAAAGAAAATCGGATCAAAATGGTCAAAATTTTCAGGATTTCATAGAATTTCAAAGTAATTACTATTTAATATTGTCATATTTTAATTTCTAATTAATAAATTTAGATTAAAAGACTAAATCAGTAAAATTTTTATTTTCTTTTCATTTCTAGCGAACATCCAAGCAAAAAAACTTAATTGAATTAATTTCAAATCATTCTTGTTCCAAACAAGATACAAAATTTAAAATCATTACTCGAAGTTCAAATCACAGAATTTAAAATCATTTATTTAACTTCTTTGACACCAAACAAATGATTAACCATTCAGGTATATGCTTTGATAAGCTCATTTGAGAAAATCTTTCCATATCATCTTGTAAATTCTGCATACTCATAAATTATCAGTAATAAAAGATGTAGCAAGAGAGTTATATTACCGACTTTAAATTCTTCTCGATTTGAATCTTTATCGCTCCAAGTACTTGTTATTGTTTTGCGTTGCTCACTTTCAATAAATGTTTATGAAACTCATTATAAATTTTGAAAACAACAAAATCATATTTGTTATTTGTTGTTTCTTGTTCTCGTTTATACGGGAAGCATATTTATTCCCTCGAATGAGAGGGAAAGGTTCAATTAATTCCATCTCCAAGGGTTTTGATTTCACCTTAATGAAATACGATCTAAATGGTTTTCTTTTTCTTTTTAATAAAGTTCCATTTTAGTTTCCAAARACAAAAACCAAAGCTGGTTGTTGGAGTAGCACTTTCGGTTAGATCTCGATCTTGCTCTCGAAAGAGAAGTGGAGGGAGTGAGAGAGGTGCCCGTGAGTTTTGAGAGAGAGCGAAGGGAATGAGAGAGAGGCGCTGGTGTGGACTTTTAGAGAAAGGAGATGTGAGGTAGAGAGAGGAAAATATTAAAGAAACAAAACCCTATTTTTAAAGAGGGAGAAAGTGTGACTATCCTATCCTCGTAAATTTTGATTTTTTTTTCTTATTCTAAATATAACCAAGCAGTCTGCATTTCATAGAATCAAATTATATTCTTGCTTGTGATAAGTAAGTTTGTTTTCGTTTTACATCTTATCCCATTTTAAATGATAAGATGTTTCTGATTTTGGAGTTTCAAAATGAGTGTTTAGCCAAGATTTCCATAGAGAACCCATTTTTGTTCGTGATTTTAGAAAACAAATCGAGA